CCTGCAGAGGTCCACCCTGCACATGCGCACAGGCAGTGCTCTCCCACATTAGGACTGCTCTGAAAGTATACGGCTCCAAGTAACGCATTATTTAGCGTAAAGCTGGCGGTGACTTCCAGCAAGTCCTCGCGCGCACTGGGCACCCAGTGACATGGTGACCCCACACTGACGCCTGCCCAGACCCATGCCATCTCACAGAGATACAGTGGAGCGTAGGGTATCGCCTCATGAGTACCCACTGACTGTGCTTCCCAAGCCCACCTTTGCCAGGCTGCAGAGTGCCCACAGGGTCAGACAGAGGGGCTGCGCACGCCCCCATCAGAGAAGATGGCTTCCAATTCCACGTGTTTCTGCTCATGCGGACTCTGACAAGCTGCTGTGCCCCCACCACCTGCACAAGGACCCTGCTGTGCCCCCACCACCCGCACAGGGATCTTGCTGTGCCCCCACCACCTGCACAAGGACCCTGCTGTGCCCCCACCACCTGCGCAGGGACCCTGCTGTGCCCCCACCACCCACACAGGGACCCTGCTGTGCTGTACCCCCACCACCCGCACAGGGGCCCTGCTGTGCCCCCACCACCTGCACAAGGACCCTGCTGTGCCCCCACCACCCACACAGGGACCCTGCTGTGCTGTACCCCCACCACCCGCACAGGGATCCTGCTGTGCCCCCACCACCTGCACAAGGACCCTGCTGTGCCCCCACCACCCGCACAAGGACCCTGCTGGGGTTCCTACCAGCCACGCAGGACCTGGCCAAGGCCCCCAGCTCGAGGGCCCTGGCCAGCATGGAGGCCCCTCCCTCCGGCTCTCGGTTACTGCACCAACTTTTCTTGGGGATGCATTGGGACCGAGACCCCCTCAAATGAACTCAGTATCACCCCCGGGGTTCAAGGCCAGGGTCACCTGACCCAGTCACTTGGCTCACTGCCACCTTTAATAATGTCACATAGACCCAGGCCATTCCCATAACAGCCACTGCCCGAACACAGACTTCACTGACAGGTGGGGCAGCACACACCAGCGAGCTGTCCACCAAGGACAGTCCTTCTGCGGGACGGAAGCCGCTAGGTGCATCACAATGCCCCGGGTTCCACGGTCTCCAGCAGACCCCTGAGTGCCGCGAGACCGACGGCTCCCCCGAGCTCCCATCACGCAGAGGAGAGGTCCCCCAGAGGCTGGAGCCCATCAGGGACGGGCCTTCCCTCAGGCCTGGGAATGGGCGGTGCAGCCTCAGGAAAGCAGGGTGCCAGCCAACCATGGGCACGCAGGTGGGACAGACGCACGCCCACTAAGGTGCCGCGGATTGCCAGGTGTGACCCTGAGAGGCACTGCCACGAACACACACCACACAGACAGCAAAACAGCACCTGGCGCCCTCCGGGTGGCTGGCCACAGCCTGACACAGCCCCGCACCCCACAGGCAGCCGCCCCTCCCTGGAGGAGGGGGCTGATTTCATAAAACCCACAGACGCATCTGAGCAGAGCCACGGGGCAGAAATGGATTCTCCTCACACAGCGCTGTGCAGGCTTCCGCTTGTGAAAGCTGCCCCATGAGTTTTCTTAAAGCAAAAAGGTTCGTAGCGAAGGTGGACGCAGCGTGCCGCCTGCACCTCTCCCTGGGGACCTGTCTCTGAAGGCAGGGGTGGTGCAGGGTCGGAGTGGGCAGGAGGCCAGCCAGCTCCCCCTGCCACACGCTGAGCTCCTTCCTGGGAGCCGCCCTTGGGGAGAGATAAGGGATGGACGGTGGAGGACAGAGCAGGAGGGCAGTGGGCGGCCTCGTGGGGTGGGGCGGACGGGCACTGCGCACGGAGGCCTCAGCTGCCCTGGGCTGTGGACAGATGGCACTGGGACCCCAGCTCCTCAGTGACCCCAGAAAGTCCTTGGGCCTCCCCCTCGTGGGGCTTCAGGGCCGTGGCAGAGGCTCCCTTGTTCCACATCCCAGCGGGCCACCTTGCCTGACGACAGTGAGGCAGCAAGGTGGCCACAGCAAAGACAAACCTCCCCAACCCCTCCTTATGACAACGAACCCCGAGGCTCATGGGGTCCGAGGAACCGCAGACTCCAGGTGGGGCGAAGCCGCTTGCCTTATGAATTCCACACTCGCAATGAAAAGCATTTATTCTTCAAGAGATCCACAAAGAGGGCCCAGTGCAGTGGCTCAACTGGCTAATCCTCCCAGTTGTAAGCACTGGGAGCCAATATAGGCACTGGTTCATATCCCACCCACTTCCTGTCCAGCTCCCGCTGTGGCCTGGGGAGGCAGTGGAGGTGGGCCCAGAGCCTTGGGGCCCTGCTATGAGGAGCCACTGGAGCAGCTCTAATGCATTCAGACACCTTCTCCTTAGGTTTAAAATTGGGTAAGCCAGTTCCTTGTCCCTAAGAGTCTCCTACAGAGGAAACCCCGATTCCCTCACCATCCCTATCGCCCCAGGCCTTCAGGGCCACTTCACCAGCCCCCAGCAGCCCCACCGACAGGGGACCTGCTCTCTCTCTTCCCTCTCTCTCTTCCCTGGAGCCACTTTTCTCACTGGAAAGGAGACCACCTGTGTGACTCTGCAGTTTGGGTTCGTGGTGAATATTGCTAACACTCGTCCCTGACACCCCTCCACCGCAGGAGACGCTCCTGGCTTCGGATCGGCTCAGCTCCAGCCGTTGTGGCCGCTTCGAGAGTGAACCAGCAAATGGAAGATCTTTCTCTCTGTGTCACCTTCCCTGTAAATCTGCCTTTCCAATAAAAATAAACTAATCTTCCAGGAGCTGCCTGCAACAGACCTGGCTTCAGCTGCAAAGTGTCTCCAAGTGAGAAAGGAAGAGACAGCTGCTCTTCACGTTGGCATTCCGTGACATTTGCTGCCTCAAACGGACACAGCACAGAATACAAACAGGTATTACACACCAGCCCGACAGAGCCTTCCAGGCAGCGCAGTTCGTGCAGTCTGACAGGGCTGGGACATACTGCCTGGGGGCCTGCTGGTGCAGCGCCCCCGCCCACCACCTCATGCGAGACTGGTGACGTCCCCGGGGACCAGGACGCCTGCGTGCATGTGTGCCGGGACTCTATGCAGCCCTGGCCAGCGGCAGAGGCTCCTGACGCACAGAGGAGTGGGCACACACACACGTGGGCAGAGGTGGGAGGCACGGTGGCCTTCTTAGAGGTGAGTCCTCACTGACTCCACTGTGCCTGGGCTCCTGGCCAATGGCAAGGCCAAAGGGAAGCCTTTGGCTGGGGCTGACTGAGGGCAGCCACTTAGGAGGGCATCCGAAGTGACCATTGATCCTTAAACCCACCCCTGATTACCCCGAGGCCCACACACAGGCCGCGGGCATCCCACGAACACAGGGAAGGCGCGCAGTGTCCACAGCCGAGGGCCACGTGCAGCTGAGGCTGCAGGAGGCCAAGGCTGCCCCCGGGCTCTTGCTCTGTTTGTTCTCCGTAGAGCCTTAGTGACACCTTTGCTGGTGGTTTTCTCAACAAAGACCCCAGAAGTCTACTGGAAGAAACTTACAGGTAGGCCTCCTCAGGGCCAGGGGGGCTAGGCTCCAGGGACACAGGAGTCAGCTGGGAGGGGCCTCGTCCAAGCCCCAAAGACCCCACAGAGGGCTGCCTGAGGCTGGGGCCCTGGCGGCTGGCCAAGGAAGGAGCAGGGGTTGGCAGAAGAGGGCCCTGCCCACCATGCTGGGCAAAGGATGCTTGGAGCCTGTGGAGACTCCAGAGGAAGAAGCCAGGCCCACACTGAGCCAGGAGTGGGCACCAGGGGCAGAGAGCCGGCCTGGGAGCTGCGCCTCCAGGAGTGGGTTGTAATGGTGATGGTGGATACACCTCAATGGCTCTGACAGCTGCCTGCCACACCACACCCCACTTGTCAGTTCAGTGTGTTCTGCCCCCTTCCACCGGTCTGCTATGGAAGTGGCCCTGTTGTCATGAGAGGATGCAGCTGGGCCCCGAGGTAGGTGCTGTGCCAGGTTCCTTAGGACTGAGGGGTTGGGGTGCGGGTGCAGCCGGGCACAGGGCTGGGGGGTCAGGGCTCAGCGCCCGAGCTGCCGAGAGGGGAGCAGACATGTGGGGCTGGCAGAGGAACTGCTGGAGTGAGTCCTCTCACCCGCTGAGTTCAGAGTCCGTCGTGGGCCAGGAAGCAGGGCGTGTGTGTTGTGGAGAGCTCACCTCCATGCAGGAGGAAGTGAGAGAAGCAGGACGGACTGAAGGACCCAACCCTGTGGCCGTCTGGGAACACGATTCTGCGTCCACGGAAGGCGACCACACACGCCGGCCCGGAGTGCGTCTCCGTGACAGCTCCGACTCGAGAGCTTCCCACTGACACGCCCCGTGGGAAATGCCACACTGCCTCAAGCCATTGCCACGGGAACGAGCTGATTCCCTGAGGACGTCTGGCTGGCAGCAGTGGGCACTGAGCGGCATGGCCACAGCTGGGCTTCCTGTGTCATTATAGAAGCTGGCAGGCCACTGCAGGGAAGTGTGACTCGTGTCCCTGCCCGCTTACCCACTGAGCCCTGCCCAGGCCACAACTGGTTCAGTTCAGATCTGTGACATCCACTGATGGTGTGCCAAGGGCTGGGGGCGAAGGTGAGGATGGCATCACCCTGTGACGACACAGAGGACCTTGGAGGGAGCCCTGTCCACACACAGAGCCCGGGAGCTGTGTTCCACGGCCATCCTGCCAGGTTGGCTCAGAGAGGGAGGAGCAAGGCACCCCAGGGTCACAGGGCTCCACAGAGGCCGGGCCCCACAGGGGCTCTCACCCACACACCCCTGACCCATCACAGGCCCCACCAGGGACCAGCTGGGCCACTGAGGACGCAGCCATGTCTAGTGTACCCCGTCAGCTTTGTTTCCTTCCAGACGGCAGGAGGTCACCTGTGGCTCGCGACAGGCACCCCTCAAAGCTCTTCCACAAACGGTACAGTGACCCAGAATTTAATAAACCTCCCTGCTGGGGGAAATCAACCCCCAGGCCTTTACAGAAGGTATTTACATACCTGGAAATCTCTTTCTTCTAGAATTTCTTTTCTCCATCGCATGAGAAAAGCTGCACAGACATACAAGTGGAAATGCGAGAAGCCCTCGGGTTCAGACTGAAAGAGAAAAAGAGCCGGGAGAGAGAGGTGTTAATGCGTGAAGCCATTAACACGCGGTTCCCGCTCGGGGCGCCCGGCCAGGCTGCACCGGAAGCCAAAGCCGCTGCCCAGGAGTCACTCACTCAACGCCTGCATTTCAGAATTCTCATTTCATTAAAGAACATCCCTTCTAGTGACTGCAGCCACAAGAGCGAGCGGTGCACAGCACCGGGCTGCAGGCAACGTGGGTGCATCTGTGTGCACAGGTACACACAGGTACACTCACACACAGGGATACACACATGTACACACAGGTACACACAGGTACACTCACACACAGGGATACACACATGTACACACAGGTACACACAGACACACACGCACATAACCTGCACACAGACACACTCACACACAGGGATACACACATGTACACACGGGTACACACGGACACACACGTACATAACCTGCACACACACTCACACACAGGGATACACACATGTACACACAGGTACACACAGACACACACGCACATAACCTGCACACAGACACACTCACACACAGGGATACACACATGTACACACGGGTACACACGGACACACACGTACATAACCTGCACACACACTCACACACAGGGATACACACATGTACACACGGACACACACGGACACACACGCACATAACCTGCACACAGACACACTCACACACAGGGATACACACATGTACACACGGACACACACGGACACACACACACATAACCTGCACACACACATGGATACACACATGTACACACGGACACACACATAACCTGCACACAGACACACTCACACACAGGGATACACACATGTACACACAGGTGCACGGACAAGTGCCTAAGCTGACAACACTCAGTCCCCACCCTCGGTGTCCTTGGGAAGGAGGCACTGCCCCATTGCACTCGGGGGGTCGAGCTCCTAGCCCAGGCTACAGCATTAGTTCACGCCCTGCTGTCAGCTGCTGAGAACAGGGCCCCAAGATGGTACTTCCTGGGGTGCTGCCATGTCCCTGCGACACGCATGCGACTACTGGAAAAGAAATAACACCATGGGGCTCAAGGCAAGAGAGTGCCGTGGACACAAGACCCAGCAGAGCGCCAACGGCATGGCCATGGGTGTTGTGTTTGAGCGGTGGCCTACCACCAGCCCCCTGAGGTGACACTGGAGCGGAGGCCCAAAGAGAGAAAGCCGTGCAGACACATGGCGGAGGAGGGACGCAGGGGCCTCATGGCCAGGAGGCACATGGGACATCCCAAGAACCGTGAGCCCAGCGAGGTGGGACAGAGGGAGGCAGGGATGAGACCAAGGAGGATGGACCCTCAGTGCCTCGTCCCAGGGAAAGGCACCTGCTTCAAGCACCCAGTGCTGTCACGCTAAGGACACCCAGCACACAGCAGGGTTGGGAGAGTTGGGCCAGGGACTCGGGCAGGGGGTGGGCAAATGCTGGTGAGTGGGTGAGGCAGGAGAGGGGAGGCCTGTACGACCACATGCGTCCTAGACAGGGTTCGGGGCTATGCTGACAGGAGCAGTGGCCCGAGGGACGAGGGAGCAAGATCAACATGAACATTCCGGTCTCAGCCACTGCCAGGAGCCAGAGAGGCAAGCCGCAGGGCAGGAGGGTTAGCCGGGGTTATCCAGACAGCAAGGCACCTGCTTGGCTGCCAGGAGGACGGGGCGCTGGGGCGGACAGGCGGGGCCGTGCTGGACAGAGGAGGTGTCAGGTGGGCACGTGGGCATGTGAGCGGCCCATGCTCTGGGCCAGATACAAGCCTGAGAGCCCACAGGGTGGGTTCTGAAGGGTGACAGGGTGCAAAGGGGGCGTCCACGAGAGGGGTCACACAGGGAAGGCTGGCTGGGGAGGGGTCCTCACTTCGTCACCCCACCTAGGAAGAACTGCAGTGGCATGCTGTGCCCTTCCCTGGCACGTGCCCCGTGCCTGGTGCCCTGTGCCTGGTGCCCTGGACTTGAACATGGCCAGCTGCTTTTAGGGAAGGTGATGTGCTGGAGGCATGTTTTGCGGACAACCGGACAGCTTAGAAAGTTCACTTGTGTTTCCAGATGACCAAAGACGCGCCTCCCAGGAGGGCTGCCTTTCTGCACCTGGGAGAGAATTTGGGGTGCAGGAGGGCGGGCGCTTCCTGAGCCCTGTGCTGGCCAGGCCTGCCGGGGTGGGCACCAAGGCCAGCATGGCACTTTCTTCTCACCTCCCCTTTCCAGGACCGCCCTGTTCCCCTCCAATGTCACCACACGCCCCAGGAGAACAGGCAGCGCCACATGGGGCCTCTGGGAAGCCTGCCACTCCGGCTTTAATCCCTTGGTGACCGTAAAGTGACAGACTTTCCCTAGGTTTTACATTCCTGCTGCATGGCCTGCATTCCCTTGGGTCTCTGCAGCACCCATGTCTCGTGTCGGCTTCGTGGTGCCGCTCAGGCGTAGCCCCTGAGTGCAGGAAGGTTCCCACCACCCCAAGGGCCCACCCGCACTGCTGTCCTGTCCAGGGCTCACGTCCAGGCCCCCTGGTCCTCTGCGTGCCATCCCATCCAGGGCTCACGTCCAGACCCCCTGGTCCTCTGCGTCCTGTCCTGTCCAGTCCAGGGCTCATGTCCAGACCCCCTGGGCCTCTACGTGCTGTCCTGTCCAGGGCTCACGTCCAGACCCCCTGGGCCTCTGCATCCTGTCCTGTCCAGGACTCACGTCCAGAACCCCCTGGTCCTCTGCGTCCTGTCCCATTCAGGGCTCACGTCCAGGCCCCCTGGTCCTCTGTGTCCTGTCCCATCCAGGACTCACGTCCAGACCCCCTGGTCCTCTACGTGCTGTCCTGTCCAGGGCTCACGTCCAGACCCCCTGGTCCTCTGCGTGCCATCCCATCCAGGGCTCATGTCCAGACCCCCTGGTCCTCTGCGTCCTGTCCCGTCCACGGCTCATGTCCAGATCCCCTGGGCCTGTGTGTGCCGTCCCGTCCAGGGCTCACGTCCAGACCCCCTGGGCCTCTATGTGCTGTCCCGTCCAGGGCTCACGTCCAGGCCCCCTGGTCCTCTGCGTCCTGTCCCGTCCAGGGCTCATGTACAGATCCCCTGGGCCTCTGCGTCCTGTCCCGTCCACGGCTCATGTCCAGACCCCCTGGGCCTCTGCATCCTGCGCTATCCAGGGCTCACGTCCAGACCCCCTGGTCCTCTGCGTCCTGTCCTGTCCAGTCCAGGGCTCATGTCCAGACCCCCTGGTCCTCTGCGTCCTGTCCTGTCCAGTCCAGGGCTCACGTCCAGACCCCCTGGGCCTCTGCATCCTGTCCTGTCCAGTCCAGGGCTCATGTCCAGACCCCCTGGGCCTCTGCATCCTGTCCTGTCCAGGGCTCACGTCCAGACCCCCTGGGCCTCTGCGTTTTGTCCCGTCCAGGGCTCACGTCCAGAACCCCCTGGTCCTCTGCGTTTTGTCCCGTCCAGGGCTCATGTCCAGATCCCCTGGGCCTCTGCATGCCACTAGCATCAGCTGTTACTTTGGTTACTTTCCAAAAACTAAGCTTCTCTCTCTCTCTCTCTCTCTTTTTTTATTGTGGATATTTTCAAATACCCACAAAAGTGGGAGCAGCTTCTCCTTATTTTTAATTATTCAGTGTTGTTCTAACTTAACGCAGTTGACTTGGCCCATTCGTGTCTGGCTTTTCTTCATTTCTGTTATCAACAGGCGGGCAAGGCCATCAATGTCCTCCCATGCGCTCCACTTCAGCTCCTCCACGGTTTTAATGAATCTTTATTAAGTTCAACGAGTTTTCTTCATAACGTCCTTGTTTAGACCATGGCTTATTTATGAGTGCGGGGCTTTCCTGTTTGCTTTTCATTTTTAAGATTTATGTTCATTTCACTGGAAAGGCAGAGACTAGATACAGATCTTCCATGAATGACCCACACCCTGGATGCCCACGCAGCCTGGGCGGGACCAGCCCACACCCCGGATGCCCACGCAGCCTGGGCGGGACCAGCCCACAGCCAGGCCCACGTGCGGCAGGACCAGCCCACACCCTGGATGCCCACGCAGCCTGGGCGGGACCAGCCCACACCCCGGATGCCCACGCAGCCTGGGCGGGACCAGCCCACAGCCAGGCCCACGTGCGGCAGGACCAGCCCACACCCTGGATGCCCACGAAGCCTGGCCGGGACCAGTCCACACCTCGGATGCCCACGCAGCCTGGGCGGGACCAGCCCACGGCCAGGCCCACGTGCGGCAGGACCAGGCACTGGCGCTCTGACAGGAATGGGATAACCTTGGCTCAGACGCAGCTCCTGTACCTTGCTGGACTCCCACGTCCCCGCCACATCTGAGACTGCCCTGAGGTTATGTTTGAACACACGAGCATCCTTTGGTGTGCTCTACCACTCCAGGGCCTGGGGACTTCAGACCTGCCACGCCGGCAGACACGAAAGCCTCCTGCCCAACACCCTCAGACCACTCCTTTACGAACCTTCACGAACCTTCACGGGATTACTGCAACGTTGTAGTACATTGTGCGCTCACATGGTCTCCCTAATATCCATTCAGAGCAAACATCACCAGTTCTTACGTATAAAGAAACCTGTTCGCATTGCAACTAAAACCAACTGAGTACTCAAGCCCGCGGAAGCCCAGCCCAGGCCGTCACAGCGCACGGGGCTCCCAGCTCTGCCCCGCCCCACAGCACAGCGCACAGGAACTCCCCGGTCCCCACCTGACCCTCCGACCCTCCCGTGCAGGTCTGCCGGACGGTGCCCAGCTCAACTCTGTGGCCGTCCCCAGCAGGCACACTGCCATGGAACCCTTGCCCGCGACCATATGCCTGCAGGGCTATTTGTCTGGTGACACTGCGGTCACACTCTGTCCCGGCTCTTGGGAGTCCACAGTCAGATCGGAGATGAATGGACACACACACTCTCCCGGACCTGCTGCTTGGAGCCTGGGAAAGGCACGGGCTGCTAGCGGGCGCTCGGCAGCTACTCACTGAAGTGAATGATCTGC